AATGTTCATTGCGTTGATTAATTTTTCGCCAGTAAGTGCGAAATTTGACTGTGTAGTGCTTATGCTGTTGCACGAATAGGGAGGGTGTTCCGGGAAGTACCACGGTCTCACAGAAGAGCGTACATTTGAAGTATTATAATTCGCTGTAGTAGGGCTAAGCAACTGTGTTCGCTGTTGCACGAATGGGCAGGTCCTTCCGAGTTAGTACCACGACCTCACAGAAGACCGGCGTGGAGTAGAAGTGTTACACTTCTGCATTTCGTCTGGTGAGTGAGGTAGCCGGGGCCGCCTTTATTTTAGGTTGGCAAAGCATATCACTCTATGGTGTTGTAGACGTCCATGGGATAGTCATCGCAATACAGCAGGTAGAACGTCCGTTTATTTGCCGTCGTTTCACATTGAAAAAGAAATTTAGTCAGTATGTTCGCTGCGTCTGCGTACGCTGGGGTGTAGCAATGCCCAAATTGCTGGCAACGGAAATTGAAATCGTCATAGGCTATATACTACTGTAACACAAGGGATGCTTTGATTGTATCGAAATCAATCTTTCCAAACAACTCTTGACGTAACTGAGCCCGCTCTTTTGATTGTGGGCAAAGTATCCTCAACCCCGGGGCCATTATAGGGGCGGGTCATGTTTTATGGTCGAATTGACCTAACGATGAAACTCTGGTTATCTTTACGTCGTGTGCGAGAGGGATGCCGTCAAAAAATAACCATGTATACGTTAATGGCTCTTTATTGTCGCAAGCCGGCTTACAGGCCGGTGCACGTGCTGGAGCAACGACCTTGACCGAGTCCCGTGCGTTGCCCGCTCAGAGCCGCCGATCGATACAGCAGCCCGTACATTGTATTCAAATTGTTTACACTTCTCATTTAGAACCTTATATCACACGTATACGGGAGTGTTGCCATGTGGACTTGTTACCTTTTAGAATTTGAATTGTTTTAAGCGTTGTTTTTAACTGGCGGTCGCTCAGTGGTTGAAATTCGACCATAATTAGCTAGACACGGTAAATAATGTTTTTTTTTTTTTATTGATTTAATGCATTTTTATTGCATAGTTAAGTTTTTGCTTCACGTATTGATATATAGATAGATTTACATTGGTCATATTCCACAGTTTTTATATTTTAATTTTGACACTGAAGAGTTACTACGGTTTACGATGATTGTTTTTCCCTAAAGTCTAAATCCTCAAAGTAATATAAGTAGTAAGGAGAATTTTAGTATGAGGAGAATTAAATGATAGATGAATTTAAACAACGAACCAAAAACAATTAATTGGATTTTATATTATAGAATCTTTTTTCTTTTCTAATAGCTGCTGATCCTATCTTACAAATATGTAAATTAATTTGTTAATTTGATTTAAAATTAGTTTTCAATTATTCAGTAAAGACGATTTTTTCTGTGTTTGTTTTCAAATAAAAGCACTCTTGAGATATCAATCATATCGAACCGAATAAGCCTCTTCTTTTTGGAAAACTTTAAATCGTTTTTAGTTTAGTTCTCTTATGTTTGAATACCTTCGAATCGTTTTTTGGGTTACGTAGGGTAAAACGGGACTAAGACTCCGCTGTCCGTCTGTCACCAGGCTGTATCTCATTAACCGTGATAGGTTGACTGTTGAACTTGTCACAGATAATGTATTTCTGTTGCCGCTACAACAACAAATACTTTAATACAGAATAAAAAAATATTTAAGTGGTTCCATACAAAAGAAATGATTGCTTTGCCGTTTTTAAAGATAAAAGAAGAGCAGCCCGAGCCCTTCGTGCGAGTCCGACTCGCACTTGACTGGTTTTTAAAAGCGTTTTAGCTTAAAAGTTTTAGTACGAAAATTATCTTATCATTTTGGTTTGTCAATAAAAGATGTTCCGCTGAGTTAAGTTCTCTCCCCGCTGAGTAAGTAATCAGGAAGGTAATTATTATTCTTAAATCTCGTTTAACATTGTCTCTGTGCGTTGGACGCAAAGAAAGTTTGAATGTGATTGTTAGAAGTGTGAAATTTCCAACGAGGTTGTTTGAACCGAGGTTTACCCACGCAATAGCTGTGTTTGCTCTTTTTAACCTTTGCGTTTCAGTTGCCGAGATGTTTGACTTTTGAAGTTACGCGACGCCGTGTTTAGAATTTGTTTAACCGCGTATATTTCTAACGTTTACATCTCATGACGTGAAAAGGAAGGAACTGTTCCGACCGTACTTTAAATACGATATCTCGTCGTGAACCTTCGTGTCTCTTGTCTATCCAAAATCTAAGACTCTGCTTGTTCAGTTATCTACGGTTCCGATGTTGAAAAAATAACTCAAGATATGGTGAATCTTCGACACACTTTAGGTTAAATTTATAACCATTAATAAATTATCTTGTAAAAGGTAAGGAAGAAGTATTAACACTTATGTAAAATGACAGTTCGTTATCAATGTCAATCCGCGCGTTTGATCCGTTATCATCAGCGCTCATTCTCTTAGATTCCCTTTTCAGACACTAAAATTTTAGTAAATTAGTACATTAATAATATTTTAATTTTATGTTAACCAATGCTCTTGTGATAATTTCATAATCGACATTTTGTGAAAATTATTAGTATAATTTTTTTCTACCATACATCATCAATATCCTTCAGTAGAGAAATGTGGGTTGAGTTCTCAATTAAGAGCTTTCCAATAAACGACAATCATGTTAGAGAGTATGGAAGCAACGACATTAAAGGTGAGCGTCTTTGTGATAGCTAAGAGTAATAATTCATTCGAAATTGATACAATATTTATACAAACACACAATTCGTCACAAAAACGCCTATTCTAAATCATGGGTACCGCCAACACCGGCCATGGTTTCAATCTTTAAACGGGAAAATATGCATAATTGTCTGTTTAATTTGTTTATATGACATACTCGCTATGACATATAAACCCGCCGTGTGTAAAACAGGAACAGTGTAAGGAAATAACTTTAATGTCCCTACTTCTTCAACAAGGTTTAACGTTAATCCTATCCATCTATCCTCAACATCTAGAATGTCCTCAATTCTCTGACCTGATAATCAAAATTCGGGTGTGCAATGCTCGAAACGTCAAATAACAACGAAAACCAGCGGAAGTTTACCGACATCGAAACGAAAAATGTGTTAAAACGATTATTTATTTGTCACGTTGAAAAATACACTTCGGGAAATGGTCGCTTGTTTACGAAAACACGAGTTAGCGGTGATTTATTGGAAACCGCAAATTGCCGATTCGTTTTTGGGTTGCCTGTCAAAATTGTCAAAAACGTTTATTTGTTTCCGTTTTATCGAGCACACCGTAGGAATTGTAAACGGCCGAAAAATCTAACCGTAAGGCGTTACTGGGTCAGTAAGATACGTATGTTTGACATCGTAAATAAGACGTAATAGTAAGTAAGGACTCTCCCTACTCGTAGGCACGATGTAAGTAACACGAGGGACAACATACATATAATTCAAGATGTGGGACTAAACGAATATTTGTTATCAATAAAAAAATCGTTTCGGTTATTTAGCAAGGCGGTGTACATACTAAGCGCAAATGTTTTACGTTTCCCAACTTTTATTTGACTAACTACGTGCCAACTTGCCTAACAATGTCAATAGCCTTTTTAGACTATATGCTAATGTAAATTCATAGAGTCGTGTTTGAGTCGGCGCTATTTCACATTACTTTACAGTGTTTGGACGAAATTAATGAATAACGACATTTTAAGTTGGACTACTTTAAAATGGATCGAATTGCAAAAACTGCCTCACTGTGAAGTCATCAATCGTATTCATTTCAAATGATTAATGTCTAGTAGGGAAAGATAACTGATTTCACAAATTGAAACTTATCGCTCAGAGAACTAAGCTCGAAATAATATGAATGGACTTGGCCATCAGAGAAGGAAAGGTCTGTTGATAAAACAAATGCAATGCATATTGACCTAGATGAATTGAAACTTATACTCTAGAGCTGATGTTAAAGTTACACGAAATTGCTCTCTATGCGCACCACTTAAAGTTCGAATCATTTGTCGGTGATTTGCGATTTTCCGAGAAAACAATTTCCCGAGAGCTCTCATAACGTGCACCTTAAAGAAAGCAGGTAAAAGTTTGTAGTTAACGTCAAACGGATTGAGAAGTTGTTTGTTGTGTTTAGAAAAGATCTTCAATCTTCGCAACTCGACCGGTTCGAGTTTAATTGAGTCGGCGCTTGTTTCACCTAACCTTAATTAGATTTTAGACTAGAGGTAATTAGTTTAACGGGTTATAAGATGTAAGTGAAATTGTACGTAGCCTTTTCCTGTTGATTGTGATAAGGCCAACGTTCTTTTCTCAATGCATTTCGAAATCTTACAATTTTAGTGATTATAAAGAAGACTGGATTTGTTGTTTTTTTATGTAGGTACGATTAACTACTAAAATATTAAATTCCTATTCCAATCCTTAACTTTACTCAGCCTAAATAATTTACTTACGTACTTTGTAAGTACGTGTAACACAACCTATGTTTTTAAGGGCGACTCCCGCATAAGGGTGACCTTTTAATCATTACAAACACGAAATCACGGACAAAAGTTTCACAAACATGAAAAAACGGAGATGAGCAAGCGCGGAACATGTATTTTGTGTGTTCGCGTCTTTTAACCTTTAACGTTATAACTTCGTCGTTTATGAACCGATTATAATGATTCTTTTTTTGTTGGTAAAGGAGATATCCCCATACCATGATAAGAAAATCCGGATCTGATGATGGCATCCTAGAGAAATTGAGGGCGATCCTCAATAGTTAAAGGTTTTAACAATGTTTTTTGGTCTCCGGTTTGAAGTCGTTTTTTTTTTTGTTAACAATTATTTAAGTATTAGTAAAGTCTAGCGCGGACACTAAAGCCGTAAACAATTGAAGATGACGAGGTGACTACTTGAACATTGCACCATCCGTGCAGCCAAAATTAAAGTAATCTAAGAAAATCTTTAACAATCCTTTTCGATTCTTTCCAGGACGCGGACACCGTCGAGAAGCTGAACGAATGCGGCGAACTTCGTAAAATGTTGAAACCTTATAAGGTATGCGTTTCTTTGACTATTCTATCGCGTTACAAATTTAAAGATAGTAGTTGTATGTGAAATTTATTTTTATATGAAAATACAAACACGAGACACCAATCCGATATATATTAATGTTGTTAAATAAAACTATCTTTCGGCATTTTATTTTGTTTTTAAAATTATATTGCTTTATTTGCTTAAACAGAGGAATCAATACGTGCTCCTAATATATTCTAGAGCCTTCAAAGAGTTTAATGTTGACAAAAATAACCTATATTGCTTATAAAATTTGCTATGACAGCGTTATAGCTAATTAGTACACGTAACCGAGGAGCACGTGTACGGCGATGTAACAGTGTGAACAAAAGAGGATAGTAGATACTCGTAAATCCGTTATATCCGCCTACCTGAGTCGCAGGTTTTGAAATATTTGCGCACGCCCGTGTAACAAAATATAATATTTAGCTTAAAAACTAGTTAGAAGATAATCATCATAAATATCAATTAGAAAAAATAGAATCAACATTGATCAACATTGATGCCAATATACACATATATACTAACATAATAAATCTGATAGCTCTGAATTAATTTTACTAATAAACCTTAAATATATTTTATAACAATAAAAAACTGATTGACATGAATTTGAATAAACGAGGATTAAATATTTCTAGATCACATCTTCTCAACTCAACAAATCATTCACATCTCTAGTCAAAAACAATTAATTACGAGATGTGAAACTTATGACAAGTCTCAAAGACAACATCTCGAAAGCATTACCTAGATTAAAGCAACATGAAAACAAGCTAAGAGGAATATAATTAGGAACATTCTGAATTTTATAATGTAAACGTAAATTCAAGAAATCATTTTTCTAAATAAAGATGCAGAAATTAGCTCTGAAGAAAAAAAAATCATTATGATCCGTGAGGCACTTGAATTCCTCCGCATATAAAATTTATAAGAAACAAAAAAGATTTGAACTAAAAAGGGTCCCCATGATCTCTCAAGTCTTAATTTTGTAATAAAAAAAGTTAAGATGATTGTTCATTAAAGAAACGGTAGAAAATACGACAGATGCGCGTTAAGCTGACAAACAATTTTTTTTTAAAAAATCCGAAAGGGTTCATGACTTGAGTGCTATTTTTAGTGAACGAGTTTTTCTTTACGGAACTAAATCATTTTCGATGAGCGTTGAAGGTATTATTAACAGTAGAAAAACGAAACTAACACGATATATTACAACTGTTAACCAAACTAGAATTGGAGTAGTTACATCAGACAACAAGCTTCTTAACAGATAACAGGTTTAGACCCAAACGAGGAAACGACAATATAAGGACAGCTAATGCTATCAAACTTTTAAAAACTTATTTTACTCAAAACTTGACGGGTCATCGTTATCACCTTACACTCATCCAAATCCGGGATCTTATTTCCAACATTCTGTTCACAAAGGCTTTGTGACTCTTACTATCACAAAAGTATTACCCCATAATGATAGGACACGGAATTACATTTTTTTGAAGAGGAATTTAGCAACTTCGCTGTTATTAAAAGTAGGAAGACCTATAGCCACGGGAAACGAAAGACGGGAAAAGTTCTTAATACTTTATTTCGACTTCAATAGGACAAAAGGCTGCAAACTTTACATAGCACAACTTTGCGAGAGCTTTTCAATTTCTGGTAATACATTTTCAAGTTTCAATACAGCGTAAGGTACACTTTAAAATGCAAAGTTTTGGACTTGGTCAGAGTTTGTAGGGATATTTAACCTAGCTTTTATATCTTGATACACATTTAACTATTTCTCAATGAATCTCAATAAAGTTTCTGTCTAACAAACAGACTGTCACTTTAAACAAAAATGACTTCTAAGGTATCTTGAACAGCACTCAATGTAATACTTAATGATTTTAACTTTTTTCTTATGAATATTTTATATTCTTTAGCTTTTGCCAGCTGTAGGACCACCATTACTTCAGCTCGATTGTTCTTTAGCCTTGCTTTAACCAATATATATTCATGTATTGTTTTATTCACGATTGATAAAGGTAATATTAATATTTCAGTTAAAATAATCAAAAGCATAAAATAATAACGTGATTAAAGATGTGTTTTGCGTGAAGAAGGGTTAAATTATATTATTTTTACTGCAGTCCGTCATTAGATGGCGCTGGCACATGCAACCAACGGTTACTATTAATTGGAAATAATAGTTTTGTGTTGTGTTTTTAAAATCCTCCTACCATCCATCCATAAAACCTTAATTTGAATTGTGATTTTTTCATTTATTTCGATCGTGAATTATTTTGTTGTCTGGCATCAACTCATCATTTCTAATCTTAGTTTATTTTCTTTTTTTTTTTAAATATTGCCCTTACTTTAGGATACCATTATCCTGTGTTGTAAAGACGTTTTACATACACAAATTTCACGTGGACAAGCACCCAGATGCGAAACAACTATCCGTGGGTCGCACTAATAGTTGTCTCGTGTGGGAATCGAACCCACTACCCCCGACACCGAAGCCAATACCTAAAAGCGCCACGGAGTCATCAGTATCTCAGATTTATCTGAGAGTGCGTTCAGTTATAGTAAAGCTTCATTCCAGCTTTGACCAGCTTAAAAGCGGAAATACCACGGCGTTGCTGATGATCGTCATAAAAACAAACTTGCTACTCTTTTAATTCGTAAGGGGGCACACTTAAGGGGGCCAAGGAAATTGTCATTCCACTGTTGTGGCTATCCCTACCATGGGTGCTCTTCTCCTTTTTAATCGATTTGTCAATGGAAACTGTCCCAATTTCTAATGGTTCTAAAGAAACATTAATATAATTTCAGAGTCCGGACGCCTGCAACACCTGCCAGGTATGCGGCGGTTTCCGCCTGCTACCCTGCCGCATCTGTAACGGGTCAAAGAAGAGCCTCCATCGGAACCACTTCACAGCTGAGTTCGTCGCCCTCAAATGCATGAACTGCGATGAGGTTGGCCTAGTGAGATGCGAGGCGTGCTCCTGAGCCTTGACGTGAACACGATTTCCCCGATTTGACTTTAAAAAGTGAATTAAAACAAACACTAATGCTAATAACAGAAGGCCTAGTGCACGATACGTTTACAACTTTCTTCATTTTTTTTCAGTGCTATGCACTGTGTGCCAGATGTTATGTATCCTTGTGGCAGAAGGCTTTATGATTACTGCCATATGGATTAAAAAAAATTAGTGAACGGAAATTTAATGACTTTATCTGGAATAAAACATTTCAAACATTCGTATCATCATTTCCTAATTACTATGTTTCAATAAAGTTTAAAACTTACCTTAAAATTTAAAACTAACTTTAAAACTTTACCTTCTGTACCTAAATCTACGTATCTAAGCTGTGCTAGTTTAACTTTTTCAAGTTTAGACGTCTGCGGGCATTTACTTTTATATATTTTTTTTATAAGTTAACTAAATTTTATGCACTCTTTTACATTGATAATAGTTTACTGTTAATGTATCTGAGAAATAGAAGTATTTTTTTAAGCTGGTACTAATTATAACTAGTATGCCATAATTTAGATGCAATATATTTTCTATTTTTATACAGATTTTTCTTCTACCTTAGTTGATAATAGTTTCATTCGTGGTACTATTTTACAATATGAATTAGTTACTTTTTGAAGATTACTGTGCTACCAATATTTTAGGGTTATAACCATAAGTAATTGACAAGTTATATTTGATTATAATCCTAACAAGATAAATTTAAGTGTCATCTATTGGCGGAAAGAATATAATTCTTAGAAATTGTAATTGTGAAGATCTTTCTGGTAATACTTATGACATTTTATTTGTAGTTACGTATTTTCTATTTTAATTGACTGTCGCAATGTGATAGTAAAATGATTTAATATTTTGCAATGAAATATGATAAAAACTTCTAGAACTAGGGTTTAATAATAAAATATTAATTTTGTTATACAAATCTTATTTTCTGTATTTCCGAAAACTTGAAAGATATTTACATTCCATTTCGAATAATAAAATTACTGTAATGCTAAGTTTTTTTTGTACATATTATAAAATAAAGATTTGCAAAATACAGCGTGACTTTATACCATTTCTAATAAAACGCCCAACTCTGCCGCCAGCTATCGCGCGTTCAGTCTCCTTATTTGCTTGGGAAAGCTATATGAACGCACCACACTTAAGGACCTATCCCAACGGCCTCATTCTACCTGAATTATTGAACTTTCGGCCGAATCACTTCTATCCAGACAAAATCTACCGTCTAACAGAACACATGCTGTAGGGCCTTAACCAACTCAAACACATTAAAAAAGGGCTCTTTTCTTCGATGTCACAAATGCGTTCGACAAAGTCTGGCTCAACGGCTTACTTTGCAAGCTCACAGTTCGCACTCAACGTGCAACAGGCTCGTGCACAAAGTCGGAACCTTCCTGTTGTATCGTTTCTTTCGCTATCGAGAAGGGCCTCTCTACGAGCCGCCCTTTCATGGCAGTCGGTTATTCTTTTCGTTCTACATGAGCGACGAACAAGGGGCCTACAAGTCACATGGCACAGCCCTATACTACTCTGATGAATCTCAAATGAGTCACCAGCCTCCAAAAGGCTGCTTAACGCCTTGGTGACTGGTTCCGCAAACGTATACATTTCACTCGGATCTACCACGTAGCCAATTTGAACTTCCGAAGACCAAAACTCACACTCAAACTCAAGCAGGAAACTAGGGTATCACATTAAACGGCATACCGATCCCCTTGGAAAAAGAAGGTCAATTATCTATGAGTTATTTTGTGTGGAGAATGACATACTCCACACATGTTAAAACACTCGTTTATTATAAATAGAGCCGCGTTCATTTTGGACTTCTTAACTTAACTAACTCCTCGAGTAAAATGCATTTGTGGCACGATTTTTTTATAGTTGGCTGACGTACGACCCATAAAGCTACAAACTTCAGATAATTAATTTGGCTCACAACCGATGCTAGCTGGCATAGCAATTGCAGTTTCCGTGGTCCAAACGTCGTCCGCACAATTTCCTCATCGATTCAGTTAAGGAAAGAGACATAAGTTTACCGGACCCACTGGGCGTCCCACTAGACATGGTTTATGGTTTGGTGCAGAACCTAGGAACTCCATAGGTGAAATTCCTCCTGTTTAAGATAACTTACTTATGGGTAATTAAATCGTACCCAATGCAGAGGGCCATGAATATCATTGAAGGCTTAATATTCTATAGACTGAAAGCACAAAGATCGGTTAGCACGTTGGCTGTGGCAGCAATTTTTGCATACTTTCTGTTTATGCTGCACGAGGTGTTATTGACCAGACGTTGGGGCAACGCACGGTCTATTAGACCCCACCTCCCTTGATATACTTAAATCCATTTTCTGCCTCTAAATCAAAGATAAATGGGAATATTTTTTTTTTTTATTAATACAGACAGTAAATTGATGAAACCTAATCTACCGTCGCCCCGGGATCTGCTACCTAGTTTACGAATTATAGGCGAAATAAAATATAGGATCTTATTCACCGTAACGCACTGAAATAGGGAAAATTTTCGCTGAGATTTGTGATGGGAAAAATAATATCGAAGTGTTAAATTTAAACTGTTTATTGCAGATATCTACTAAAAGACACTAAAATCTCCTCGACGACTTGACCGATTTCGATCAATTATAGCTCATTAGATTCGTTTTGAAAATAATGGGCTTTAAAACGCTAGTACAAAAATATTGACAATTTATGTGGTTACAGAGGTTTCTAATAAGTGTACGAAGACAAATAGTGAAGATCGACACAACGCACAACACTGGTCGCGGGGAGCTCGCGTAGGGTGCGCATTTTTAGCCTCCATCCGCACTGCATCAAAATTATATTATTTCAGTACGGCACTTGACCTAAGACATCCGACACCAAGGTAGGTATACCACAGAGTCCGGGACCATTAGCAGATCTCAAATTTATATTTATCTCTTTTCTACACTGGACCAAACCGAAGTTATACCCTTTGAAGAATGAATATATGAATCATATATGGATAAATGAGATTCATTTTTCTCCTTGCCGTACCACAATGAAGTTGTATGTGGGATGATTTAGGCCTCCTCACTCAATGAACGTGTTAAAGTAAAAGTAACTATCATAGGTTATCTGGAAAGCTATATTCATTAGTTAGTAAGTCCCTAGTTTATTAAAATTACGATAAAAAATACTGTATTGTTAAAATAAAGGAACATTGGCTTTAAGAATCATAACCTTTTATTGTTTTTCTCCTGTCTCAGAAAGAGACGACCCTTAAAAAGGGCAGAGTGTTTCACAAACATGAAATCACTTACACAAAGTAAACCCAGACGTGGAGTATAGGAAGAGGCTTAAAGCATGGCGCCATCCATGCTGGTTTATCTCGGCCATCTTAAGCGTTAGACTCTATGTAAAAATTAAAAAATAAATTAGACTTTAGAGTCATATTCTTCTGCTTTTATTAATATTAAACACTGTTTAATGTACCTCATTGTGTTCGGCTGTGTAACATGAGTCTTTGGAATAATTATTATTGTAACTAAAATTATTGAGTTAGTACCAATCAAAACAACAACGGTGGTAGAGCCACGTAACAGTCTTCTCTGTTGCAGGAATGGGAAGGTCTAGGTACTTACCCGAACGGACCTACCCATTCGTGCAACATAGAAGATTATTGCGTGGCCCTACCACAGTTGAAAATTTAGAAAGGCCATATCTATAGTATAAAATATCTTATAGCACGCAACAACTAGCGGGCACTTAAGGAAATCGATTATGGTATTAGCAAATACAAGACGAACAGAGTCAAGAGTCTTGCTAAATAACAACTCACGAGTTATTAGACTCCATAGAGTAAGTAACTCGTTCATGGGGCGGTGTATAGTATACGCTTCTACAACAAAATCCCAGTAAATGCGCAAAGCCTGCCTATCAACAGTTTTAAGAAAATTATTAAAGAAAAACTTTATAAAAAGGGCTATCACAATATAAATGAATACATTAATGACAATAACCGCTGGGATTGAGTTGATCGCTCTCAAGCCATTTCTAAAAGAAAAAACAGTTGTATAATATTTTAATTTTGTTAAGAAAAAATTGACAAGAAAGAGGATACTTTCGGAGTTTCTTTCGCCTTTTTCTTCTCCGTTAGAGGAACCTCATTACGAAATTTAAATAAGGATTTTGCTAGGAAATATTTTCTGTCTAATGTTTAATAATTTTCCTTTTCTCTTTATTTGTTTGTTTTGTTTAATCCTTTCTTTTAAATTCTATCAGACCCGAAAAAAGTCCTGAATAATACAAATGCGAAAAGAAAAATATCAAAAAACTAGTTTTAAAGAAACCCGAAACAACGGAATCTACTAAAACAATGTTATTTTCTAAGGATTTGTACAATTTAAACGTTGACGTTATATGTCATTATATGTCGCTGTATAATAAAGAAGAAAAAAAATAAAGAGGATAAAATTAAAGTATAAATAAAAATTCTTCCTCAGATAGCGTTTCATTTTTCCTTTAAATTTGTTTCGTATTACGTTTATCTTACGAAATGATAGGATCAAACTAATTTGTTTGCAACACTACATGAGTACTACAATATTACATTCTAAGTGAGATTTTTAAGTGAATATAATAGATAATTAATCAAAATGCTTCTACAAATTCAATTTAGCTTTGCTCATCAGAGAACTAATAGACAATACATCCGGCCTTTCTAGTGTTGGGTAACAGCTTGCGGTGCGCTTTAGTGTTGTACATCGTACAAAAAGATTATATCGACTTAACACTTTTTGCTGGCGTAACAAAGCAACATCTCATCACTTTTAGCGCCTTTTTAATTTTCTATAACATATCTCTCATGAGTATATGCGTTTTTTTTTATTTCGTTTTTAAACAATCCTACATTAATAACAATATTCAAACCACTTAGGTAGGGCTATGTATAACGGTAAGGATGATGATGTAACTATTTAACTTG